GATTTTGGCACTGGGAGGGTGACGGGTTCGATAGCTTCCAAATGCTTTGCATATTGATGATAATGGTTTTCAGCGGCTATTCATGCCCAGCTTATGTTAGCCCTTGAATTCGAGGTTTGCGATCAAGTTTCGGATTAATAAAAAAAATCTCATTTCTATATTCGTTAGGAAATTCATTTCGATGCTAATGTAGGTCTTTGATGGCAACTGTTAATGAAGTTTCATGTTTCAGATGCTTTTTTTTTAAATCTATTCTATTGGTACCCCATTTCTCCAAGTTGGCATAAGAGCTCTTGAAATAGTCTTATTGCAGCAGCAGTTATGTACTTAATTTTGATTTGCCCATGTATATATATTTGTTATGCTAGGGAGTTTAATTTCGGTCATTTGGTTTTAGGAGATTCTTGAGTGAACGTTACCATGTGCTCCGATTTCCACCACAAAAATCCAAATTATCCTTGCAAGTGACATTGAATAATCTAATACAATGATAATTAGGTGTTGATCCATACTGGTAACGCCTCTCTATGACGATAAGAGATATTGATTACTTGTTCTCTCCAGGTCATGACTTTTTCTAAAGTAAGAAAATAAATTCAATGGATAAATCATAAATTTGATATGGAGACTCCTTTAGGAGAAAAGGTGTAAGTAACAAATTGAGACCTAGCAACTTAATTCCCCGAACATAGCTAGATGCAGGACAGCGCTTTGGTTTGAGACGGTATGGGTAGGAAATTTTTTTTTCCAGTGAGAAGTGTAGCTTTGAGTGGGTATACTGTACTTTTAAACATAAGGTAGCCGACATGTCTATCTTCCCATTATTGGATATTCCTAAATAAAAATTAGTTGAATTTTAATCGAGAAATTGGGTGTTTTCTAAAGTGTGCTATGAAATTTAATGTTTGAGCGCCTCTTTCTGCCAAACAGATCACCATGTTTTTCCCCTGATATAAGAGAATCTCAAAAAACATTGCAGGCCTTATGTTCATTACTTTGAACCTATGTTACCTGGGTATTTCTATTTGGAAGCCCATACCCGTACTTAAAAACGTACCTGTATCCGTACCCAAACTTCTTGGACACTTCTTGTATATATGCATACGTTTGTTCATGCGTATACTCAATATATATGACATATTTTAACTTAAAATACTCATCATACACTTCTTGGATGTACGTTCTACACTTCACACCTATTTTCTACTATATTGATCCCATGTAAATGAAAAATCAATATTGATCTTACATAAATTATTAATTTTAATACCTATAAATATACATAACTTGCATATTTATAGCTGTGCCCCCATGCCCTACCGTTTACAAATTTGCTGTGCCCCGTAACCGTATCCATGCAACTTAACTTTGCATAATAAGAAAGGCCATGATAGATCTGTAGTTCTGTACTAGTCTACTAGAGATTGACAAAATTAATGCAAAAGGCCATGAAGGATTTTTTTTTCTTTTTTTTAACAGATCATTTTACAAGGTTGCGGATGACTTTGTTAGGAGGTTTAGTTGCCAGGGAGGAATAAGATCTTGATATGCTAGAATTTTCATGGCTTTTTATGACCCGAGGCTGTTGCTAGGAGACATATTCAACTTTTGCTAAACATGTGTATGACATACATGACATTCCAGAACGTAGAATAACATTAAAGTCTTTCAACTTAGACATGGTTTTATGTCAAGTCAGGGGTTGATCAACCTGTGGCCTTTCACATTGATTTTCTTGGTGAAACACTGCATCTTTCAATGCTCTACATTTTCAGAATACTTTGGTAAATTAATTCAGGATATGTATAGCACCAAATAATCCCTGTGTTCATTCATCTTGCAGTGATAGCCAAGAAATTCAGTACATGTTTATTGTTCCTTTTTCTATATTTAGAATTTACATATACATCTGGGTTTGCTAGCCAACATGATCATTCTAAATTCCAAGGAGATCCTAGGTCTCGTGAATACTATTGATCTCTTCCTACCCCTTTTTGTACAGGTTAGTTTTAAAAAATACTTTTGCTCTGGTGTATTGGTCTTTTTATTACTTCAACAAGAGTAGATTTGCTATAAGCTGTGTTTATTTTGCAATTCATTCTGCAATCCATAACTTAAACCTACTCACACCATCACAGGTCAGACATCATCCAAAACTTATTCTATCATAGAAAACAACTCCTTATACAAATAATGAAAACACTCAGTTTTCATGTAGATACACAATTAATGCTGTAGCCTCTTCAAAATCTCGAAACATATGGAGAAACTAGAAGAAAATCTACTCCTATGGTACATGCTTATTCATTAACATTTTTCCTGTCATACCACATCCCAGTGCCTCAGTTGGTATATTTCTGACATGCTCAACCCCTTCAGAGAAAACTACACCCATACCCATGTGTAAATGTGGCTCAATATGACAGTGAAATGCCCATACTCCCGGATTATCTGCCACAAACCTTAAAGCTGTCCATCCATAGGGAAATATCACCACTGTATTCCTTAATGGTGGATTCTTTAAGTTAAACTTTGCAATATCCTTCTTGGTGAATCTCCCATCTCCATAGCCCAACACCCAAAAATCATGCCCGTGCAAATGCCAGGGGTGTATCTCACTCACATTACCAGCAAGAGCATTTGCATTCTGAAGTATCACATCAACTGTGCTATTGAGCTTGAGTTGGTACACGTTACTACCTTGTGTTGTGTTGGGATTCTGTGGTGGTTTCATTACATCATAGAATCTGGGGAAGTTTTCTGGTGGCTTTTGGGCATTAAATGCACCCTTTAAGCCATAACTTATGGAGCCAAGAAAAGGAGTGGGTGGGAGAACAAGAGAGATGTTGTTTATTGACCATTTAATATGCCCGTCTATCTTGTTCTGGGTATTGAGGAAGATCATTTGTCGATCGTACTTGGTTGGGGGTTTCACTGTGCCCTGTCGAGATAATATTTTGTAGGTGAAATTTTTGCTGTGGGCATAATCATTCCATGTGGGAGTAATTGGAGGTGCAGATGAAGGAAGTTTTCTTGGGGAGTTGGGTCCGTAGTTTAAGATTGCGAGTGCAGGGTTGGTTTTAGGAAGCCTTCCTCTAACACCTACGGAGATCCAGTAGTTTGATGATGGATTCTGGTCAGTTGTAATAAGGACAGAATAGCTCTCACCAGAGTAGATGTCCATGTCTTTGACAGTGAATGGTTTTACGTAGTTTCCATCTGCTTCTACCAACATCATCTTGTGGTTCTGTGATGAAAATGAAAGCATAGTATATTTTTTTAGTATTTAAGCAAGAAGCTATAATAATCCTACCATAACCAAAGTGTATGCATTTAATTTTCGTATGTGCTGTGGAGGAAATGAGTTAAATTCTGATATGTTATATTACAAAATGTTCGTAGTCTTTTCAAGGTGTATGCTATTCGATGAAAAATGACCTCTCTATTTCTTAGTTTATAAATTATTAATATTTAAGTATCTAAGTGTTGATGAGTGGTTTCACAATTCAATCATGTTCTACTTCTTGTTTATTAAAGAAGCATTTCTGCTCTTGTATGGAGAATGAACAAAAAAGTTATGTTGATCAATAGTTGATTGTCATGGAATTTTGGTATGTGGATCAGCCAATCCAGGGACACAACTTTGGAGAGAGACTTCGTGGCAAATCATATAATTTTCACTCATTAGTTGTGCCCTGTGAGATTATTTACTTTACACTATAAATAGTAGCTCTGGAAGTTTCCTGGTCTACTGATTATTTGGCTAATTTACCTTCCTTGAAAGAATCCTTACCATACTAATTAATCCTCAATATCTATTTATTCATTCGTTTGCTTATTTGTTGTTTATCTCAGTTAGATTGCGAAAAATTGATACCTAATACAATCTGACTGAACTAAACTTATAAATATATGCTTGTGCTTAATGTCAGTAGACTATGCATAAGAACGGATTGCATATTGTAAAGTGATTCATTGTCGAAACTTTGCAAGGGAACTAGGCTGAAATTGGCATTTGCGTAACTTAATTGTTAGTTGCTTGTGCTCATTTTGAGCTGCTACTTGTATTGTCCCTGGGTATGCCTGGGTGGTAGGATGTATTTGGGATTTTTGGATGAATGAAATTTATTTACTAACAAAAAAAAAGCCCTTAATTCTTAATTCAGAAAGGCAATTGCTATCAATGCTTCCCTCTAAAAGAAAATGAAGAAGAAGTCAAGTTAATGCTCCCTTGAGAATATATGCCATATCATTTATTATATATGGAAATGCAAATTCAAAGAAAATAAATGTAAGGATAAATAATATCTTTGTGTAGTTAATGTAACCTCTCTAGTTCCCCATTCTGAAGCATTAGAAAGTACGAACTTTTGTCTGTCAAAGAAATAACAGGAGGTGGATTCTTACTAGGTTCAGTGCTAGGAAAATATTAGCAAACAAGATTGGAAATTTGTGTAGTATAAGTAGATAACATGGTTATATATCATATCATATTTTGTCAAACTGATATATCAAAGATTTAAAATTTTAAGGAATAGATGTTCCATTTTTATCTATCCTAATTTTTTAATTTTTAATTTTAATTTTAAATTTTTTGTTATTAGACATATATCTAAAAGATAATGTTTATTAGAAGTATCTTGTTAGGTGCACCATTTAAAAAAATACTAACAGAATTGCTCCCTGTACAAATATTCACAATTTTACATGTATATTTTAAACATGTAATACAGTTGGAAAATCAGATCAATATTTTAGCAAACTGATGTATCAAAGAGATTATTTTAAAATGAACACTCGCACACGTACATGCAGGTACACACGCAACCGCGAACACAAGTCCAGATAGATGTATCATCTAAAAAAATTTATTTCTATACGGGAAGTATAGCTATAGATTCACATAACTTTATGCAGTTCTTATTTAGATATTTTTTTCAACCCAGTAATATGTTTCTTAAAAGTCTCAGTAACCCCAGGAACAGAAGACAAGTCTTCGCATGTCCATGTCCTACAAGTATTCTGACGAAGAAATAAGCAAATTGTATATTGGGTCCACTTCTATACATTCTGCAGAGCCCTACTCCAACTTTATGTCCAGCGTTCTAATCCACTAGATTAAATTCTTGGTCACTTACTTTAGCCGCTTCCTTCCAAAGATGAGGCTGACATCAATTTGTTTACTTTGTTCACAACTTTGATGGAATGTTTTCTATTTCTTTACTGAATAACATACTTGGGTCCAAGGTTAGTTGAAGGATTTTATCTATTTATTTATTATATATGGCACCTAGCAAAAGATGGTGGTTATATAGATATAAAGTTGCTCGCTATAATTGTACTTTGTATTACAGCTGAAAATCACAGTACATTGTGCAGTATCATATTGTATACTATTATCATGCAAACTGTAATCTTATTATCTCTGGTCATTAAAGTTATAATTTTTAAATAAAAGTTTCAATTGACTTCTAATTTTATCTTTAAAATTTGTGGGTTGACATGATTCGTTATTTAGTGATGTTGATGTATATGTAGGAAAGCACTATGGCGGAGGTATGCTTACCCCAATGGCCAAGTTGAGAGAAGCCAAGGATGTAATGCTTGCAATCCTCACTCTGTAAGTCTTGTTTGGAAGTACTCTGAACACTACAGGAGCACACTGGCCGGTGCTTATATTGCAAGCGTTTGCTCCACCAACGGCCGCAAGAGAACAATTGAACTGCCCTCTGCCATTAATCAGTAGGCTCTGCGCACAACAAAGCATAGGCAACCAATATGTCAATATATGAAACAGAGTAGCAAAGAGAATAGGTTTGAGAGCTTCGTCATGCAAGAACAAATACTTTACTATTATCAGCTAGTCTTGAGCCTGTTGGAGTATGACAATCCTCTCCATAACTTCGGAGGGTGTTTTGGTGCCGTGCAAGGGTTCTTTAACGCATATTAGCAAGAAAATAAAGTATATCTGTATCATAACTTCATGTTGTTTGATTCTTCTTAGTTCTTCTGTTATTTTTGACCCTTCTTGATACTTTATGCTTTATAATACGGTGGATTGCGCTTCTCTTTCACTCTGTTTGGTACCCTAGGTTTTTCTACCTGCCCACTACTACTGTTAGGATTTGTGACGCCTTTTCTCTTTGCCTTCGCTTTCTTGTCTGATAAATTTGCACAAAATTAGTAGGTTGATATAAGGTTGGTAGCCTGTCGGTGATTTGGTCTTCTCCTTTTGGAGGTTTCAGATTGTGCATCTTTCTATATAACCGGTTTCATGTTGTCGGAAAAAGGATTTGATGAGTATATATGATGAGAAGCTTTCCTTTCTTTTAGAAAAGGTGAGTAGATTGCTTCTCTGTACAGAAAGTGCACCAAAGGGAAGTATGAAGTCCAAGAGGAATGAGTTGTCAGCGTGCAGAAACTATGAAGACGAATGATGAGGTTTTGTGAGGTGCCCCGAAGTTCATGGGTGTTTTAACAAAGCTCAAGGGAGGGGGTGTTGTGGGAAACCGCTAAAGTCCAAGGGGTTCTCTGAAATTTACCCTAATTGCATGTATATATATCCTTCCTCGAACAAACTTGCTTCGTCCGTGCACATTGTTGTGATCTTTGGGACATAATAACGCTCAACTGAATGAGACTCATCTCTTGATCATGAGGTCCACCCTGTTATTTGAAAGCTATAGCCGAATATTATTTCCTATTGCCACAATGTTGTCAAAAATATTTTACGGCCGCGTGAAATTTATGTGTTGTGCTAATGCGACGTGCTTTATTGGCTTTTAAGTTTTTTTTACTTCTATTTTCTTTTTGATACTTCGAATTTCTGAGTGATCTGATGAGAACCTTGGCTAGAATCAACTCGCGCCCTCTATTTGACAGGTAGAAGAAAGTACAATTAATATAGAAACTAGTGCTGGTAACTACATGAGAATCACACACGGGATGGTTTCCCACCATTTTCACCGGGGAAATAATGAAGAATATAACAACTGATGGGAATCTAGAAAAGTCGATGCGATCACCTGAGGTTCGCCGATCCAACGGAAAGGTTTAGAATCGAGACCAGTCATCTGAGCGTACACATTCTGATGGTACCAGTCACTCAACAACAAGTTGATTTCTCCGTCGTAAGCGAAGGGCTCTATCTCATCGTCTGCCGCGTCGACTATCAGCGAACCGTACAGCCCCGCTGATCTTTGCATACCGTAGTGCCCATGGTAGAAATACGTGCCGGGCTACCCCCCAAGAACACACCAAATATATTAACGATTATAAAGGGAATAACGTATATATAAATTTGAAAAAAAAAATGTAGCCCAGTTTGAATTACGTACGTACCTTGTCAACTTTAAATCTGTAGACGAAAGTTTCCTCCGGATTGATTGCGCACTGCGATATAGAGGCCGTTCCGTCAGCCCATGGGGTTCCAAACTGCAACATGCACGCATTATTAATTATTAGCTAGAAAAAGAACATTAAAGAAAGGGGGAAAATTAAAAACATGCACAGATTGTGTGAACAGTCGATAACCAACGTCGTGTACCTGTCTAATGCCATGCCAATGAATAACAACACCCTCGGTGTGCAGCCCGTTCTTGAGCTCAACCGCGATAGTATCTCCGGCCTTCGCCCTTATCGTTGGTCCCGGGAACTGCCCGTTGATCCCGATCGCTACGTTCTCCTCACAGTCCGGCGACCAGAGCAAGTACCCAACCTCCCACCTGAAGTGCCTCGCCTTGGAAGCCCAAGAGGCTCGTAAGCACATCGCGCAGCATAACGTAAACAGAAGCATCTTTGTTGCCATGGGGAAGAGATCGAAGTGGATCAAGTGTCTAGCTTTGGTGGGTGGAGGTGAGGTAGATGTGGCTACTTATACATATATATAGAAGGCTGGCTTTTAGCGAGGTGGGTGCGGGTTGAGTACCTGCGGGATCGCACATCGATCCGTGGACATTTGCATATGTTCTCATTCCCTTGTCAATTTAAACGTCTCGTATGTGTGTAGGAATAATAATAATAATAATAACAAAAAGTATGTTCGCTGGCACAACTGGGATTTCATAGAATATTAACAGGGGATCGAGAGGAGAAACGCAGCGTAAATGATATTTATTCGCATAAATAAAGTTCCAAAGGTGTGAGTTTGACTGCATGCGGTTAGTTTACATAGAGTTGAAGGGACCGGCCGCTACATGATTCAGATTATAGGTTAATTAACAGTTATTAACTTCATCGATCTCTTAACTCTTGATTAATAATTAAGGGCTAGCTACATGAACAGGTCTTGTGACGCTGCAACGAATTGAAAGAAATGTGCGAGTGTAGGTAGGAAAGTACCAATGGATTCATGACGTGATCGATATTCCAATGTTAGCTTCTAAAGCAAGGCTTAGACCGACCGTCGCTCGTCGAATTCCTAGGCTTCCAGCTAGCTAGCGCTGAGGTATGTAGAGATGAAAATGTTGAAAATTAAACAAACTTTGGGTTTACTACATATATATGAAAGCTCCAGAGACCCTCATTTAAAAGGTAATTGAAAACCCAGCAATTAATAACCGCTAGTTCAAAAACTGGACATTGATCTCAAAACCGTTACAGCTCCACCTATCATCTCTTAATTACCCTATTTCAAAGCCTCGAAGCGTTTAGTTTTGTCTTGTATTATTCTTTTTTTTTTTTCCTTTTTTCTTTTCTGTTTGTTTGGTTGATTTTTTACTTGAATTTTGAAGAATTTATTTACGACTTTGATTTGTTGTNATATATATACGACGCTCCGAAGGTTGAACTAAATTTGGGGATTATATGGTTTGGAAAAATTGTGATACTCGTCTATATGTTGGTTTATATGTTGATGATGAGGTGCAAAAAGTTGCGAACGAACTTGACTGTCAGTATCAGATTTGGTTCTTTTTTCCTACTATATTTTACTTTATTTATATATGAAGAAACATGGTTGATAGAGAGATCATGGTGCAATTTTAAAAATAAATACCTAACGCAGAATATAAGTTAATTTCTGCTCTTTGTTAGCATACCTTTTACAAATTTTTTCTGTGGACATTTAATGAATGGTGCTATTTCTAAGATTATTTTATGGTGATATTGTTAAATGATGCTATCTCCAGGATCTGTTTGTTAAATACTATAAAGTTAGCTAGATATGTACTACCTCTTCGCTCTTTTTTTACTATTAGGTTTTATACAGTGCAATGCACATGGTTAAATATCATGATTAAATATTTTTAATTTATTTTCTTACTAAAATTTGTTCCTCAGTTCCACTTTGATCTTTTTTGCTCACTTATGCTTTTAAATATTAGCATTGTAATTATTTATTTTTTTATATTTGTTTGAATGGGCTACACCAAATTTAAATTTTTATGTTGATAATTAAATCAACAGAAAACAAATGTAATCTAAAGCCAATTTAAATTTTCACGTGATTTGGGCCGACATGAAACCAATTTTGAAAGTATAATGTTGTAAAAGTAAAAAACACTTTTAAAAAAGTAGTATTATAAAATAAAAATGAATAATTAAAGCTAAAAAAGCTAAGATGATTAATTAAAAGTGGGCTAAAATAAAACTAAAGAGAATATAAAGTTTGTTGCTAATTAATTGATAGACTTCAGAAATAATCATTGACTAAAGGTTAATGCTAACTCTAGTATATTTTATATGATAAAAACATCCATATAAAAATATTTAAAAGAGTTCATGAAAATTCTTTCTAAAGATTCTTGGTTTTACTCAAAAAATTAAGTTATTCTATAAAATATTTGGAAAATAAATCTTTTATTCTTTCTATTTTATTTTTTTATTGAGTTAAGATCAATCCCTCTCCGCTTTTATCTTTTTCCTGAGCAATTCTAGAGTTGTGTCTTCATCATCTATATTGATTGTGACATCAAGCTGGGGTTGGATTTCTTGTGTAATTATTTTCCCTGAGCTCGTTCATGTTTTATCTTCTCGTCTTACTTCACAAAGAAGTTGAATGCATTTTTGATGTTCAACAAAAAATCTAGAAATATAGACTTTGATTATTTTTGTGTTTTATTAAGGCTAAATGTTAATTTCATATATATGAATTTTTTGTGTTTTTAATTTATTTTTTAAAAAAAAGTTAGGAGTTGCCTCTTTTTTATCTGCAATGAATTCTTCTGGTGTGCATCCAATAAGAGTTTCTGTCACGTTAAATAATGTTACTTTTATTCTGTATTATTTTTTACAATGATCTGAACTAAATAACTATATTTTTCATTATCAATTTGGCTTAGATTATAATGTTAATATTTAATCTTGATATGTTTATTTCATGAAGAAGGGATATTACTCAATCTTGGTACTACTTTATTAGTAATTCTGTGATATTTATTATTTGGCCATTCTTATTAATATCTCTATCTAATCTTCTTGTTGTAGCCTTTGCAAGCTAGAACCACGGCTCAACTCTATTATAAATAATAGTTATATTTACATCATAAGTCCAATAGTGTGTCCGTATATTAGTAGAGTATTTTTAAGTTTAATTGTGAAAATTTTAGAGTATGTCATATAAGATCATACCTCTTTGATATTATGATTATTGCATATATCAATAGTTTAAATTTGTATTAGCAGTTTGTTCTGAATAAGTCATGCGTATTAGCTTTAAAATGTAATATTTTTGTCTTTATTATGTTATATGTATGTTTGCTTGGTTTACTTACCATTCTTTTATTTCTTCAATAAGTTGTATTTTTGTGTTGGTATATATTGTTAACACAATTTACGATAACATGCATATTTTTCCTATAAAATTGAGACAGATATAATATGAATTTTATATTAAGTGATATTTAATAAAAATTTTAGTAGTAAAATATGTTACCTTAATATTTAAATATCTTAAAATCTAATAGTGATATTATGTGCTTATCTTTGATCATGTCTTTAAAAAATAAAAACTAATCTTTTACTGGTAGTCATATCTCCAAATAAATTTGCTTGCAAAGTCATACCAAATATTGGAAAAAGAAAATATCAATTTTAATTTTTTTTACTTGTGCTATTGTAACTAATTATCATGTATATACCTTTTGTCTATTATAGTTATTTCCCTCATCTTATCTGGCTTATTATATCTTGCAACATAGTTGATCAATGACTTCACTTTAGTTTCTATTATAAGATTATTTATATGTAAATTTATATTAATTTTATGATTCATTTAGTAATTCAAGAATAAAGTATGAAAATTTATAAATACAAACTAATTTTCTTGTATCTTTCACAATGAATGATTTTTTTAATTAGAACAAAATTATACCTTTTGTAAATGTCAGTTTAAGTGATTCATGAATGTTTTCGTATTTTGGGTTTATTTACTTCACTTCTCTATTTGAAATAAAAATAGCTTGATTTTTTTAAATGATATCTCTAAACTTTCTGATAATTTTTTCATGCAAAATTAATTGTATTTTTCCACTCTATAAATATTATCAACATCAGAGACGAATGTTTATACATTATAATCAATTAATGCTAACTTATTATATTATAGTCTTTTGTTAGTTTTGTGCAATTTAGTCTTCTATTAGTTAATGTTATTACTAAAATTATATGTAGTTCCTTAAATTTATACAGTAACATTAATTTTTAATCTATTATATATTTTTTAAATTTTTATTCCGTAACTGGATAGCTTTTATCTATTATAATTATTATTTTTTACCAGCATCAACTTAGACTATTTTTTGATGCTGAAAAGAGATAAAAAAAACTTTAAATTGAAACTTAAATTTATATATCTTAATGAAATAATATCAAACATTTACTCTTTTCTTTGCCAAATTTCAGCCATTTATGATTTTAAACTTTTGAGGGTGTGTTTTGTAATTTTTTAGCTTTAATAATATTTTTTAAAAATTTAAATTTTATGTTGGGCGCTTGTAATTTTTAGTTTTATGAGTTGGTGGTAAGTTTTCAAATGTTAAGATGCGTCTTTCAACTCTAAAATTTTAAGCATGTTTTTTATAATTACTAAAACGTTGAGTTGTTTTTTGATAAATTCAAATTTTTAGTGATCTGCTGATAATTTTCAGATTTGATGTCTACCGGTTACAAGATTTAAATTTTTAGGATTTTTGTGATTTTTAAATTTTGAGGGAGTTTATGTAGTTTATGTAACTTTAAGGTTATTTATTACAAATTTTAGGTTTTTAATTAAGTGCCTAATGGTAATCCTTGAAATCTATCTATGTTGTTTGAAAGTTTTGAAGTCACTGAATTTAGGGTGCTTTTTTTCTAATTTTAACTTTTGAGGTTGTTTCTACAATTTTAGAAATATTAAGGGTGTAATTGTAATTTTTAAATTCCTCGAGGGCTATTTTTAATTTTTAGATTTCATGTTTATTGTTTTAAGTTTTGAAAAGTTAATGTGTTTTGGGTGATTTTGAACTCTTAAAGATATTTTGTGTAATTTTTGAATTAAATCTTAATCTTATTTTTTAAATTGCTGAGTTATAGGTAGTTCATGTGGGGTTAATATAGAATATAATTAGTATTTAGATAGATTAAGATTTAAATAAAAAATTTAAAATAATATTTCACATAGTTTGTTATTTTTTTAAATTATTGAGCTATAAATAATTCATGTGGGGTTAGAAAAGATATAATTAGAATTAGAATAGATTAAATTTAAATGTAATATTTAAAATAGTGAAGGGTAATATTGACCATAGAAATATTTTTCTAAATTTGAATTTAGGGGTGTTCTTGCATTTTTCAAAACTTACGAGATACTTTCTCCAAAGTTAAAAACTTTTAATTTTTAATTTTTATCTAGCATATGTTATTTAGATTTCTCACTGAATTGAAATAAGTAAAATTTGTAATATTCAAGATGTTTTAATAAAATTTTAAATTTGTAGGGGTGTTTTTACAATTTAATTTGGAGGATATTTTTCACAAAGTTTAAAAACTTTTAGGTGCTGGCTAGCATATGTTTTTTAGATTTCTCTTCGAATTGAAATAAGTAAAGGATTTGTGTTTGAAACTCTTACACAGG